CGATTTTACATAAATATCAAAACTAACAAAAGAATTAAATAACTTTTAAACCAATATATAAGAAATTTGTGGTCAAATTTTATACAGACGTAATAATAAAACGTTCTACGAAATTTTTATATTTTTAATAATGTTTTGACATGTACACATGCATTCTTAAATTATTATTGATATACCATAGCATCACAATTAAAAAACAGATAAAGGATAAGTTAAACCAAGATTAAAGTTAATCTAGTACATCAAATTATCCAACGCTAGATATAGTACAGCCATCAATATTCCTGCGTCGCCAGAAAAAAATATATAAAACTGTTCGTTTCATGTCAAGATAAAATTAATACGACTACATGCTACAATTGCAGTCATTTCGCTAAACACTTGAAATATTCTGAGCAAATAATGAACTAACAAACAACGATCGAGGACTGATAAATAATGTAGATAAGTAACGTAGACTGATAAATATATACTGTATTTCCCAGAGTTTCGTGAAATGGCAAACGATGATTGTTTGTGTTATTGCGTAATGTTGTTAATAACAACTTAATAAGAATTAAGGAAAGATATTTAGTATCCGCGTTTCTCGAAATTATAGAAGAACTATTCTAATACATAAAAATTGATCGCGTCTGTTTTCAAGTACTCCATAAGTAATTTAAATTTAAATTATACACGCTAAAAAATGATAACATGGAAATTCTCTCGTTTATGTAACGTTATCTCACGAATTGTAATTTACATTTGATTGATTGCACGCCATAATCACTGTTGCATAATTGAACAGCTATTTGAATCTACAAAGTGGTAACTAGAAAGTTACTGAAATAAGTGTTATTTTGTAATAAGGAGACAAAATGAAATAAATTAAACTCTATATAAGATAGAATAAAATTAAACAATACTCTATTATTTTTGTTAGCAAAAATTTACAGTGCAAAAGAATGTACATTTATAAATTTGAAAATTAGTATTTAAAAAATAACTAGTTGCATGACTTATGATGTTTGAAAGACCTCTCCACGAATAACTATTCATACGAGAGCAATTCGGCTGAAATTCTTTGATAGTTTTCGAAAATATAATACTTTGATTGTTCGAGTTTAAACAATCATTTTGTTATTTCGAAAATATATCGCACTATAAATCCGAAAATATATTCGGGCTATGCAACCAAATTGTTGAATCTTTTATAAAATTTACATAAGTTAATATGTATATTTTTTATACCATGCGTTAATAAAAAGACTGATTTCTTGTATAAAATAGTGTTTGCTTTATCTTATGCTATAATCTAAATATCATGAGCTATGCAACCAATTAAAAATTATATATTCAATTATATCAAATTATATATTCAAAATTATATATATTCAACTTTTTATAACATTTATGTATATTAATAAAATGATAATAAAAATGACGACTTTCTTCTGGAAAATTTAATTTTATTTTATATATAATTTAATTTATTTAGTTCTTTCTCTATATATGTGTGTGTGTGTGCGTGTGCGCGCGCGCGCGCGCGCGTGTGTGTGTGTGTGTGTGT